CATTCCTCCGAAGAAACAAGGTTATTTGTTGTGGCTCATTAGTGCTGATCAGATAGGCTTTGTTTGCTGTACAGTATAATAATTGGTAATATGCCACCAGCAGGTGGCTCTTTTATTTAGTGATTTGGGTTCTCAATTATTTTTGAACCTGTGCTCTGAGAAAAATTTTGTTACAAAAGTTATACTTGCATCTAAGACTATTCATTTGAACTCTCCTTCACCACACGCTGTCCCTCTGCAAGATGATGTTTTAAAAGGAAATACATTTTACTGTTTAGTACTTCGCCCTCCTTTACGGTAATGCTCTCTTTGCCAGGTGACGGCACACTCTCAGACAGTACTCCTTCACAGGGAGACATGATAGCACTTTTCAAATACTTGGAATATTGTAATACAGAAGAGGAGCAAGATCTGTTCTCAATCATCCCAAACTGAAGGACACAAGATAATGGGCTTAATTTACAGGAAGCCAGATTTCAGTTGAATATCAGGAAAAACCTCCTAAATGTTAGAGAAGTACAATGACGGAACCAATTACCTCAGCAGGATAATTGAACGCTGGAGGCATTCAAGATAAAATTAGACAACCATCTGTCAGATGTGCTTTGATTTGGATTCCTGTATTAAGCAGGGGATTGGAGTTGATGGCTTTATAGGCCCTTTACAATGTAATTATTCTGAGAAGAAGAAAGTGCCCTGACTTAGTTTTTCAATATATAAGACTGTTGCTCAAGGACCAGCCACACAATGTATGCAATTATTTGTAATAAATCATTTTAATTTTAAATTAATGAAAGGTAATATTTAGATGTTGTGATTCTAGGTAGAGACACTGGTGAGGAATGTTTATAATGTGTGGCTTACGTGAGCTGTGGTAGTATAAAGACTGTCCCACGCAATCAAGTTTTGATCAAGAAAAAAAAATCCTATGAAAAACTTCCTTAAAATGCATGGTACATTTAATTTTGTTGTTGTTCTTGAGGCTTAATTCTCTCCATGATGCTTATTTTTCTGCTGAATTTCACATGCAGAAACACCCACAAAACATTCCACACATGACCACCAATTCCCATAGGGAAAAAACTGTTGGTTACAATGTGGAGGTGAAAACAGCTGGCAGGAAGGTGAAGCAAGTCACTCCCTGTGTAAAACCACAGCCTCATAAGGCACTTTTCAATTTAAAAAACAAAGGAAAACTTAGCAGAGGGTTTTTACATGCATTTCTGTGAAATGTGTAACTTGTCCCTAATAAGTCTTTTGCCTGAGCTGGGAACTAATAAAAAGGATGAATCATATATATACCATATAGATGTATATAGCATTTTCAACAGGAGGTCTTGCTGTTTATTTGAAATGCAAATTAACATCTTTTAACATGGTATGAAGTTTCACAAGCTTGTTGTTAATCTCTGGAAGCGAAGAAGCACTCCCCCGATGTGGGGCAGGTCGAGCACCAGAGCTTGTAAAAGTTAATTTTTTTGAAATGTAGTTCCCAGAATCCTCCAGCCAAGAGGTCCACAATGCTATGGGCTAAAACACTTAGAATTTTTTGGCAGCAGGCCCATTGGCATGCTAGTCAGACTGTTCTGGGAGTTGTAGTTCAAACAGGTAACTTACCTAAATTCAGTGATCAAAGGTAAGAGAGAGCATGGAGGGAGAATGCAGGTCATCCTTTTTGAGACCTTGTGCCGGTTAATAATGCACAGGTTGACTTTAATTCACCTTTTTAAAATTTGGTACATCACTTAAATTTAATCTCTACTTTTACCTATAGGAAGACTGTGTTGTTTCTCTTTAATTTTGTCTTTGGCTAACAACCTGTGCATTTTGCCCATGCTTTAAAAAGGGACTCAGAAAAGGAAGTAAGGAAAAGTTCCTTTCTTGTAACAATCTTCAAACCAAGGAACACCCATCTTATTAATTTAGCAAGTGGCCTTCACACAGCCTTTTTTACAGGCCTGGGAAAGTGAGAATTATCGGATGTGCTCCTGATAACTTATTTGAATAGATCATCTGTTTGTACAGGAAAACCATCTTCCCCCAGACATCGAAATGAATCTCTACACTGAAGCAACATTTGGATGATAGCCAGCAGATGACAGCTACAGTAGCAAAATGGTATAAAAGCTGTAATTAGCACCAGAGAGTTTTTGGTAGCTTGCTTTTTGGAGACTGTGGGATTTCTCCCTCAATTATTTGTATGAAGGACCAGCCATCATGGAAAGAGAGCTTCTGATCCATGGATGTTGCTTGCCTAGCCAGTACCTAAAGGTACCTCATTTGCTTTGTCAATAGTATTAAGTCAGTAGTTTTCTTTGGATATTTAACAGGCTGGTGCACAGTTATGGTCCACAAGGCATGCACCATTTCACAGTTCTTCTGGACTTGGTAGCAACTGCAGAAGCTTATCTAGCAAGGATGCTCAGGGTTATTATTTGCAAGTTCACACTTCTATACCAGTTGGGTTCCTACCTAGAGAAGACTGATCTTGTCTCTTTTATTCATGCTTTGATGACACTCATGTGCTCTGTGTGGGGTTGCTTTTGAAGGTGGTTCAGAAACTCCAGCTCATGCAGAATATGGTTGCCAGGATAACAGCAGGGGCTGGACAATCATTTCACATGACACAGATACTACGCTAGTTACATTAACCGCCAATGTGTTTCCAAACCAATTTAAAGTGTTCACCTTTTAAAAAAAACTTGGAGGCCTTTGCTCCTCTAGATGTTTTTGGGCTACCCTGTTGTCTAATACATGCCATGAAGTCACATCTGATTTACAGTGACCTGAACAGGGTTTTCAAGGTAAGTGAGATAAATAAGAAGCGGTTTTACTGATGCCAACCCTTCAGTGAGTTTTCATGGCTGAGTGGGGATTCAAACTCAGATCTCCTGAATCCTAGTCTGTCATTTTATCCACTACAACACACTGGGTTACCACTAACCCCAATTTAAATCCTGAACACCTTGGGGACCACACTACTTGAACTCACCTTCCTTTGTATCAGTTTGCTTGTCTGTTAAGGGAAATGTGTATTTCTTTCTCTTACAACACTTTCCCTTCTACTGCCAGGAGTGATTAGATTGTCAGGTACCTCATTCTGCAACATGAATAAGGTTAAAGACTCTGCACTCACACAATGCAGACACGGGTTGAGTATAGTTCAGTAGGAAACAGTTGTGTGACTCATTCACCACATGGTCAGCTGAACCACCAAATCACATCTATTATGCCACCCATAAAAATTGCCTCGCTGGAGTAAACACGTGAAAGATTTTGACCTGGATATGAGACTAAATAACGATGCACCTGCTTCATTACCAGCCAAAACTCAGCCAGGATCCATTCAGTTCACAGAATCAAACTGATGTACCAGTTTTGCCGTTATGTATTAGAAGCAGGAAATAAACCAGAGTTAAGGATAAGATCTGAAACCAAGCAATCCGTATTCTAAAACGAGAATTGTATTGCACATTCTAGGTGAATTACACACATTTCACAATTTGTATTGCTTTGTAACAACTATTCTGCTGTTGCTAACAACGATATGATCTCTTTCTAGACTTCTTGCAAAAGTCTTTCTTAGCCATCCTGGTGTCCGAGATTTCAGAAGGCATTACTTGGTCTGTAGCCAATACAGAGTCACCTTGAAGCAAGAACAGGCCATATTTTATACAGTTGGGACTTACATCCAAGAAAAAATATATAAATGTATACTCTGAAACACTTTCAGTCTTTCCCTCAGAACCCAAAGGCTAGGAACTTTTTCTAAATCAACTGAAAGGGAATAATTTCCAAACAAACAAACAAAAAAACAACCCCAACAACTTACATTTAATGTATTTTCTGTACTGTATTTGCGAAGGCTTTCACGGCCGGGATCTAATGCTTGTTGTGGGTTTTTCGGGCTCTTTGGTCATGTTCTGAAGGTTGTTCTTCCTGACGTTTCGCCAGTCTCTGTGGCCGGCATCTTCAGAGGACTGGAGTAGGAACTCTGTACTCCCCACCTCAGGAAAAATGAAATCTAAATGGTTCTAGGTTTCTGGCGGCTAACACTATATCCTATTTAACCCTGCATTTGAATTTAATATTTTAACTTTGTTTCATTCCTATGAAAGCAAAAGTAGGTCACACTTTAAATGCTAAAATCATACCATGATAATTGTCTTATGAAGATAATTCAGTATAGAACATAGTGAGTGTGAAAAATAAACAAATAAACATTACTGTACCTTTTAAGTTTTATATCACAAGGATTTACAGGTCCAAAAAGTATTTCATGTTCCCTGCCAAGTATCAAGGTTACCTGTTGGGTGTCAACCAATATTTAACTACTCAGCAAGATAAAGTGTAAGAATACATTTACTTCAAAGAAAAATCCCTACCAGGCAGCACAAGGTAGAATTTTCTTCTAGCAGATGGTTTCCTTGTTCTGGTCCACTGTTCATGTACCTTCTTTGTTGCTGTGAATTTCTTTATACCAGAACGCAGAGGTGGGTAGATCTTTGGTAAGTTAGACAATACCTATCTTCCATAAATTGTTGCTAACTTTATTTAAAACTAAAAAACAGGAAAAGCAGTAGGTGAGATGTGAAAATGGAATGCATAAGATAATCAGAGAATTGAGCAATAGGTTTAATGTAGCGTTAAGACAAATTTAGAGCAGAGTCACCAAAATCAATGGGACTTCATTAACAATGTCCTCCTGAAGTCCCACTAATTTCATTGGCTCTTCTGGGACTAAATGTGAATCAATTCTGTCCATATAAATCAAGCTGTTATTTGTAATTTGAAGCCAAGCAAAATGGCACTGAAGCCCCAGTAAGATCCAATAGCTGGAAAAGAATTTGTAAGGTAAAGTGAAGTAGACTGGGAGATAAGTAACAGGCTTAATTCTATCATTATTGGAAATAGTTTAATCAAAAATAGTATAAGTGACATTTTAAGTGACACTGTACATATTACAAAATGTTTTTGCATTACAGTATTCGTTTGTTTATTTATAAAGCCACCTGGGTAGAATAACTAATCCACTGCAAGAATTGTTAGATATTCTATGGCCCTATTAGCCTGCTGCAGCAAAAACAAGAGAGTCTTGTGACACCCATAAAGACCAGCATGCTTTGTTTGACATAAGCTTCCATGGACTGAATCTCATTTGCCTCTGATGAAGTGGGCTACTGTCCACAAAAGCTTATGCCAAACAAAACTTGTTCATCTTTAATGTACCACAAGACTCTTTATCACTTTTCTTGTTAACAGTATTTCAATTGCATAGCACAATTAAAAACACGTGTGTCTAGGGCAGAAATTCATTTCTATCTTTCCTCAACATACTTTCTTTCCTCATAGGGCAATGACAGACATCAGATTCCTTCACATAATATGGGTGCTACTTGCCAATAAATTAGCACAGGCTCCAAAATAAATTCCTAAGGCAGTTTTATATAAAGAGGTAGGATTACTTTCTACATTGTGCATGCATGTAGGAGATCTGTGCCAGGTGGGATAAGTGAGAAACCTGGAAGATACCTGGGCTGGAAATAAAACTTTCCCTGAGTGAAGAGAATGGGTATTTGATTAATGTGGACAGTGCTACACAACAATGGCCAATATTACTATCATCACATTCCACATCAGGGCTAAGGCTAATAGACCATGATTCTCATTTCAGGTTGTTCAGACACTGAGTTGAAAGTTGAAGTAAAACACTACTGTACAGGATGTACATATCCTTAATTATTACACTGCACCAATGAAAGGTGCAATCTTTTAATTGCAATGCTACAAAAGAATATTGTTGAACAGGTCTATATCGTTACCTGTGTTAGTCTCATGCCTCCTTCCCTGCTTCTATAGCTTTTAGTTTTTTTGTTTGATCTTCAGTGTTGTGACTTATTGATCAAATGGAATTTGTCATGAATCATTTATCCTACTTCTTATTTTATATTAATCTGTTAGGTTTGCAAGAAGATTATGCAAATACTTCTACCTCTGACTCTCATAGTATGTTTTGCTTTTAAGAGTTTATAATGAGACCAGCTTTTGTGAGGATAAAATTCTGTCCATGTCAGCATAGCTACCGTTAAAGAAGTTATCATTTCTCTGCTCTCCTATATTGTAGACCTGTGGTTCCCAACCTCAGATAACCCAGGAGTTCTTGGACTGCAGTGCCCAGAAACCTTCACCACCAGCTGTTCTGGCCGGTGTTTCTGAAAGTTGCTGCTCAAGAACACCTGGGTTACCCAAGGTCGGGAACCACTGTTGTAGACAAATTTCGCATGCCCTCTCTTATGACACTTGTCTGATCATTATTCCACAATCTATAGCTGATAGATATCTCTCTTTTTAATAACAGTTCACAGAAAATATGGCCAGTGTCACTTTACAGAATTTCACCCAGGCTCTGGAAGAGGCTTTCAAGAACACATTCATCAACTATATGAACAGTTGGCGCACTAACACAACAATAGAAGACGAAAAGTTGCAAGATAGTCTTGATGCTGAAAATCTGAATTATGTTATCTTGTATCTCATGGTAATGATTGGCATCTTCTCTTTCATCATTGTGGCAATCTTAGTGAGCACCGTGAAATCCAAGAGACGAGAGCACTCCAAAGATCCTTATCACCAGTACATAGTCGATGACTGGGGTGAAAAGATCAAAAGTCAGGTTCTGCTCCAAGATGATCTTAAAGCCACCATCCACGAAAACGCAGGAGCAAAGAGCAAAGGAAGTCCCTCATTATCTTCATCCGTGGGAGAAACGGCTACAGCCTGAATTAAGAAGAACTGAGGTGGGGAATGTTGTTCTTGGTTATCATGCCTTTCAAAATTAAATATTTAAATATGCACAAAATTTGGAGCAAACTTTCAACATTTTCAGATTTTTCTTCAGTTAGGCAAGAAATCAGGTGGCGGGGTAGGAAAAACACTTACAATGTTGAAGTTATGAAGTCTCCACAGCCAAAGATTTAAGGTGGAAATGGAGGAAAAGGCACAGACTGAAATGGATAAGACTTAATGAGATACCACCATAAATACTTCCAAGTCACTATTTTGAAGTCTACGTGAGTACATTAGGTAGGTTTCTGTGCAATTCTGGTGCTGCAGCCCTTCTGAGAATCCTAATAAGGCTGGGTGACTGAACCCGAAGTGGACAATACAGTTAGCAGCATATGATTAGAAATGAAGTTTCCTGAAGAGATACAAGATGTCTTAATGTTCTAGCCTAAGCATGTCTCATATAGCATTTGAAAATCAGGTTGCTTTTGATTTCTGATTGCTCCTTGGGGAAGTAAACATGGCCTTCATTTGCAAATCTTATTGATTAGGTATGGGACTTTGTAAGATCTGCATGCCTAGAGGGGAACAAAAGTGATATTATCAGGAAATACACATTTCTCTTCATGGGCCGTTTGGCCATGATTGAAGATCTTCAGAGATAACTTTAAAAATTCTTTCACTGCTTTCCTAGAGAAAATGAGGGATAGCATTTACCTGCCACAAAAACTTTTCAGTCGGGTTCCTCTTCATCCTGATGAGCAAGTGAGGAAGAAGAAGCCAGTCTTCTTTCCCAAGCTAGAATTGATCTTCTCTTTGAAAGTCATGGAAGCAGAAGGGAAGGAAAAGTGAACTTCCAGCATTGCTATCTTTTTAGAAGACATTGCATCATTTTTAGTGACTTTTTGTAAGTTACTCCAGGAAATTTTTGTCAGTTGAGAGGAAAATAAAAATTCATAAATAAAGGTATAAACCTATTCAATCTTTATGCAATATTCAGTCCTTTTTTCTTCTTCTGCTACACAAACCTGCAGAAGCAGTTAGGCACCTATTTTAGCTTTGCATGTTAAATGAACACGAAAAGCTCTCTCAAGATCGGCTACAAAGCTAGGGCTGTATGCAAGGATTCAAAGATCCAGACTATAAATAAGGAACAAAGTAGAATATTGTACCTACATCTTCTTCATTCCTCTTACTCAGGGAGGAAGAAGCTGAAATCCTATTTGCTCAGCTATACTGCGTAAGGGTGATGCCATCAGTCATGGTGATTTTTTTCTGAATATTTTTTTAATCACTGCCCTCTCCAGGCTCCCAGGGAATCCTTTTTGTTTCTGTAGAAAGCCGTGGGGGTGTAGGACAGGGTGTGTGTTCCTTTAATTTCTGAAAGTCACTGTTGCTTTGTCAGCAGTTGCAATTTTTGGAAATGAAAGGCTCTGCTTGTCCTATGGCCCTATAGTGGCTTCTCTGTGATAAAGGGGATTCCATAGGAAACCAGAGAAACCTTGGGAAACGGCATCTGACATGTTTTTATTTCCAAATAATTGGTGTGGCTGTTGACATAATCAGCCTTAGGTGGTGTAATTTAGGTGTCACCATTTTTAAGGTCATGGACTGTGAGAAGCAGGTGTGACAGGTAGCTGTTTTGTGAGTGAGATATTCCAACAAGTCCATCTGCTATGCAAAGGTCAAGTTAACAGAAAACTTAATATGAACACCAGGATTAGCATTATTTCTTGTTGTTTCACAGGGAAAAGGTACTCTGTAATGATAACTGAGGAATGGGATACCAAAATGTGCAAAACATCAGATTTTGTTATAACAAAAAGGTTAAAAACGAGTGTGGAACTTGTTTTTCAGAAAAAGAATTATATCAAATTCCATTACATAGATATTGTTATATTCTCATATGTTCAAAAATCAAAATAAAGGTTACCTGCTATTTCATTTTCAAAACCAAATGCTCTAAATGCTTGTCAGTCATTGAAAGTAGACAAACATTTTTATTCTTGGCTGGGTACAGGACACAACTGAAAAGCAGAGGAATTGAATGCCCAAGGAATGAAATCTAACTCTAGCCCATAATACAAAGCTCTAAAATTTAAGTCTTCAATTATTTATTTATTTATTTAACTTATATGCCGCCCACTCTACCCAAAGGTCTCTGGGCAGCTTACATGCCAGCTATGTTCCCCAGGATCTCTTAAGCAATTAGAGTGATTGCGATCATTCATCTTAAGTCAGCTAAAGTTTTTGGTGAGCAGACTTTAAAGGACTTTTTCAGATGAGACTTTTTTGTGTACTTACCCTTATTCACTCAATTTTTCAGTGAGTCCCATTTTTAAACTATGCCTGTTCTTAGAAGAAATGTCATTCTTTCAATGGAGCTTGTCATTATCTATTGTATCACAAATTAATTACTTTCTCAACTGTAGGTTGCTCTGATGAAAAGTGCAGAAGAATCCTCTCACTTTCCCTTTTCTTAGACTTTCCTTCATTTCCATTACTGACAGACTCTACAGCTGGAAGGGATTCCCCCCTCCCTTCAGGGCTGATGCCAACCTTTGCTGTAGCAGGAAATCCACAGTTAAAACATCACTAACAGTTGCTTACCTAAGCTTTGTTTAAAAGTCTACACTACAGAAGAGTTTGTCATCTTATGATACATTATTACACTGTTGCTCTTATTGTCAGGAAAGTCTTCCTAATATTAAGTCAAAATCTCTTTTCTTGCAAGACAAATCTTATTACCAAGATCTGCCGAAATCAAATTTGCACCATATTCAATGACAGGGCATAGAATCCTTGTGTGAATTGTTTGAGACGTTTATTAAGTTTATCATCATCAGACTTCTACATCTCTGTGGAAGAAGTATTTCCATCTGTTGCCATTGTTGCCCAGCAGAAGAGGGTGATATTTGCAGTTCAGAGTAAGAAACCCAAGTCACCTACATCAAACCCCTCTCCAACAGAATCCTATTCATTTCACATTTTACTACAAATGTCAGAAGCCAAATTCACAAGCTTTTTTAATGGATCCGAGCATGTTCTTTTTAGCGTTTTGATTATTTCATTGTTTTGCTTCTGCTGTTTTTAAAAACTCATGTGGAAAACTTCACTGAGCAACAAGAAGTTGTAGCCAGATCCCAGTCAGGGAACAATGTACACACCCCAGGTTCCAGCGATCTCCATTTAAAAATGCCCAAACCTCTGTACACCAAATGAGTGATAATTATTCTTTCTTCCTCCATGCTGCACCGGTAAGTTGCCCATTCAGGATCTCATCCTCAGTTCTTTAGACACACTGTCATAATAAAAATTTCCACAGGAGTACCTTTGTGAGTCTGCTGCAGCAAAACCCAAAAGTATTCTGACACTTAAAAGGCTAACAAGCTTTATTTGGCATAATTTTTGTGGACTGCAGCCCATATCCTCAGATAGGAGACTTCTTTCATTTGAAGAAGTAGATTGAACAGCAGTTCACAGCAGCTTAGCCAGAATAATTTTTTTTAATCTTCAAGATGTCGGATGGCCTGTTGTTGGCTTTGTATCATTTGTACTGTCAGGGAATACATCACTGCCAGCGGAATTATGAGCAAACTAGTCAAAGCTCAAGATATTTTGCTCTTCGAACAATCCTTTTTTGCAGGTCAAAATTTGGAAAACATTCCCCAAACTCACTTATTCATAATCTGCAAAAAATATTCACAGTGAGAGATTAAACCACAACACACCATTCAAACAATATTTTTACTGTCAACATTTGGAAATATCCTTTTCAGTGGGCATTGGTACCAATATATTGTGTTCACAAAACCATCAATTTCATTTTACCCGTCTTCTCTTCTTGATCTTCTTGGTGCTGTGCAATTTACTATTTTAATGCAATATTGTGTGCTTGATTAATATTATTTGGTATTTGGACTTGGGCTTATTATACTAGAACACTGAAGCATACATGTTTTAGTAAAACATGTCCATGTGTGTGCATGTATGCGCCTGTAATATATATATAAAGTTAAAGGCTCCCCTTGACAATTTTTGTCCAGTCGTGTTCGACTCTAGGGGGTGGTGCTCATGTCTGTTTCCAACCCACAGAGCCAGCGTTTGTCCAAAGACAATCTTCCGTGGTCACGTGGCCAGCGCGAATAGACATGGAACGCTGTTACCTTCCCACCGAGGTGGTCCCTATTTACCTACTCATATTTGCATGCTTTCGAACCACTAGGTTAGCGGGAGCTGGGACAAGCGATGGGCGCTCACTCCCTCATGTGGATTAGATCTTACAGCTGAAGATCTACAGACCTTACAGCACAGAGGCTTCTGCGGTTTAACCTGCAGTGCCACCACGTAACTCATCCAGTATAACGTGTATGCGCACGCACACATCTATATGTTGTTCTAGTACAACATATAGATGTGTGTGCGCGCACATGTACTGTATGCCGTTGCATGGTACATAACCTTTTTAAATTTTCTTCCATCTAACAATCTACCCAGTGTGGAGTAGTGGATAGGGTGACAAGACTAGCACTCTGGAGACCGGGATTCGAATCCCTGCTCTGCCATGGAAATTCACTGGAGATGTGAAACTGGCAAAACCACTCTTTAAATATCTCACTTACCTCGAAAGCCCTCTTAGGGTCGCTGTAAGTCAGTTCCGACTTGACAGCGCACAACCACCACCATCTAACAGTGGCACGTTAACAACCCAGGTAAAAGAAAAGCTTAAAACGAGTGTCTTTCCCCTCCCTCCAATAACGGGAGCCTTCCCGCGGGGGATGTGCATAGCTGCTGCTTTTGGGGGAGCATTTGAGAGTTTCTCGAGTTGCATTACACTGCATTCTCCTCTGAGTTGGGGATGAAACGGTTAACAGCTGTCTTTTGGAGGTATGAGGAAGTGTCGTGAGTTCAACCAGAAAGGCTTCTGGGAGTTGTAGTTGTGTAGTCGTTTCCTCTTTAATGGCTGTATGTTGTTCAGGTTCTGTCGTTATTAAATCACAAAACGCTTAACGTTGTTGCAGTTACTACCGAGAAGGAATGACAAAACTGAGCATTTTAAAGTCTTATGCAGAACAATAATAATACTGTGCAATATTGTTTTTTTTAATAGCTGGTCTTGTTTAAAGAATGATAATTTTTGACGTCCTATTTCGGCCATAGTGCTTTCTTTCTTTCTTTTTTGCACCATCAAGCCCCTGTGACTGGCATTTTCTGCGTTGGACCTTTGGGACTAAGCACGCTGAATTCTGTGGCACCATACTTGGGTAAGCGTGCATAGGATCACACCGCACAATCTAGATAATAAAGCGAAATGAGGACGTTTTCTGTTCTTATTTGCGTAGTTTTCGTCGTTCTCAGAGCCTTAGTTTTTAAAAGTCGGATCCGATTGTCTCTTTAAAAGTCTATTCAACTGCATTTGCTGCCAAGTAGGCTGTGATCCTGGACACATTTGCAAGGCAGTGAGTCCTCGCGTTAGTCTCATCATCCGTAGGATGCGTATCGGAAAGAATACAGTATATATACGGTTGCCCAGAAAAGTGTGCAGAGTTTGCAGCTGTTTTCCAATGCATGTCGAATAACTCCTACAGATTATGTTTATATCAATTAAATGAGAATTTGAACATTGCAGTATAATTTTACACTTTTTACTTTGAAAGCCAACGAATTTTATACTGATTCTGTTTACATACGTGTAGCCTAAAGCTGCAGTCCTGTGCCAGTAGGCCCTACCTCAGTAAAAATGTGGAGGATTATGCTATTGCAGTCAACAGAATTTTAGGCACATGTTACACATCACAGTA